CATCTGACCCCAGTGCTCTTCCTGCCATGCTCTTCCACCCCCTATTTCAGACTGTCTCCTGCTAAACCCTTGGCATAACACATGTTCAATGAAGCTTATTATACACCAGGTCAGAAAATAGTATTATTTCTGCAAATCAAAAATTATAAGACCTACAAGTCATGAGCAATTTATGATGAAAATTCTTGCCTACCAGATGGAAAAAAAATATTCTTTACCTTCAGGGGAAAACTATTTCTTGAATAGATGCATAAAGCTTCCCTTTAAAAGAAGGTGCGGTAGATATTTTGAATCTGCATATAGCTAACACATGAAACATTCATTATCTGCTGTATATCAGCTTGTATCATGTTTGAAGCAGAACACATTATTAAGATAAATGGTGTTTACAGAGAGTCTGTTTACAAAGATGTACTATCTGTAGTTACAACTCTGCTCAAATCTAGCAATGAATGCAGTGCTTAGGATCATGAAAATTCACTTTTATAATAAGAAACAGTAAGAACTACCAAATTGTTAGTGTATTACAAGCAATGAATACCCTAAAACAAACCAAAACTTACTGTTTTGAGTTCCACAAGGACTTGTTCATCCACTCCTTCATCCAGAAAAACTTCTCTGACATCATTGATGACATCTTCAATTACAGACCTATACAGTTTAGGCTTAAAAAAAAGGGGGGGGGAGGGGAGGTCCTTGTTTAGTAAAAAATGGAATATTCTAGTATTAAAACAATGGAACAGATTTTCATTACAAACAAACAAACAAACAAACAAACAAACAAACAAACAAACAAACAAACAAACAAACAAACAAACAAACAAACAAACAAACAAACAAACAAACAAACAAACAAACAAACAAACAAACAAACAAACAAACAAACAAACAAACAAACAAACAAACAAACAAACAAACCCTCTGACACAATATTTTCTAGAAAGCAAAATATGCTACTGAGTACCTAGAATATAATACTAGAGAAGAAAGAGGTAATCAAAGAGCAATAAGTTAGGGCATACCCAAATTTTTCCATTTGAAATACAAAAGAAGGGGCTTCAGGTTTCTATTTTTGCAATTCATTTTTATTATAAAACACACACACATTCACGGTCAGGGCAGCTAGGGTCTGGAACCAACTTCCAAGAGAAGTGGTGCAGGCTCCTACCCTGGGGGTTTTTAAGAGGAGGTTAGATGAACACCTTGCTGGGGTCGTTTGACCCCAGTACTCTTTCCTGCCACGGCAGGGGGTCGGACTAGATCTGCTCAGGTCCCTTCCGACCCTAGAAACTATGAAGCTATAATGAGATTTATAAAATTCTTAGAAAAGTTAAATGGATATTTTTATGACATGTTTACCACTTCATAGTTCCATGTCAATTAAGTCAGCCAGCCATAAGTAGGATTAACCAGCATGTATTACTTAAAAAGAGAAAAATCACATAAATAGGATTTAATTTCTATGCATTAATTAAACTAACATTACGTATTACAATAAAAGCTTGATAGGTCTGAGCTATATGTTGTACAGACCTCTCTTCAGAGCCCACTGTTTTTAATGGGATTTTGCATGGGTTCAAGTAACTGCTCTAGCTAAGCTTCAGGCTGACTTGGAGGCTTTAGCATAACAAAACTTAGTAATATGCACTAGTATTATCGAAGAAAAAAAACAAAAAACAAAAAAAGCAAGCGCTCAGAACTCAGGAAATAGGACGCAGAGTCTGACTTCTCTAGATCCCCAGTTCAAATTCAGCTAGGACAGCTGTTACTCAGTCATCTCTGCCTTCAGTGACCTGGGTTAAATGAACAGTTGATCATAGTATATTTCCTGGGAGATGGTACAAAAAAAGTCATCCCAACAAATACCCTTCCTGGTAGTCCCATCAGAAAGGTCAAAACCTGAGACGCAGTGGAGCTCTTTGCTCCTTCATGTTATCAGGGGTTCAAGGTTGATGCACAGTGGTAGAGTTATATAAAGGGGCTCCATACCATTATTGTATCAACTATACTTACGTGGATGAAGACAAGGTACTAGACTCTGGGGATTACAAACTGACACCTTTAAGGAATGCTAAATATACTTAAAATAAGTGAAGTTATTTTAGGTTTAGGTACTTTTGTTTTTTGCAACAACATAGGACACACGGGTGCAGTACTTCAAGAACTATGTTGATAAGACTCTAGAGGGTCTAGAGGAGGGCCACTCATATGGTCAGGGGCTTACAGGATAAGCCCTGTGAGGAGAGACTGAGGGGCCTCAACCTCTTCAGCTTCCACAAGAGAAGGCTGAGAGGTGATCTTGTGGCC